GATCCTTATCACAATATAACCCAATCATTGCTTGCTAACAATTCATAATTCGTTTAGAAAAAAAACAAACTAAATAAAGATTCTCATCAAATCAAATCAGATAAAGATCCTATCACATCATTCTCAAACATGGTATTTGGTTCCAAGGGTTCAATCAGTTCGCTTAGAGATTCTGGCCAAAGTCGCACAATCATGCTAAGTTCATTTGTTCTCCAGATCAGGCATCATAATGGTTCATATCAAAGTGGTTGAGGTTCCATACCATATAGTTTCCTTCGAATAAGTTCACATGTAAATACACAGGCACATAGTTGTTCATAACTTAAAGTGATTGCACAATATAGAATTTGGTATGCGGAAATTCCAAGTAGATTATATCATCACAAATTCATGATTCTAAGAACCCAATCAAATAATCTCGTCCACGTTAACCAAGCAAGGTATGTAATCACAACTAATATGGGGTTTATTATACGAGGTATCCAATCTAGCCACATAGTTGTAGCGTTAGCTCCAATGGTCTAGGGAGTCGGGATCAGTATTATAACAATCATTTCAAACAAAGGCACAGAGAGATATTTATCCACAATCAATTAACATTCCGAGCAACGGTGCATATATATGAGAGTCCCTAGTCAACCAACACATAAGCATTTGTTCATAAACAGTGACAGTACCTGGAATAACGGTCTTAGTATTCTGAGTGTTTTCTGGGACGAGTACAGTTACTCTACCTTGGCTTGCGATTCCACTCATTATAGAAGATCTTGCCATTGGTACAAAACTGATCAAGGTAGCGGGTCCATTCACACTTTGTTCGATCCGGGTACAATCCCTTTCCTAATGACTCATTTCGCCACATCTATAACAAAGTTGCATATATGGGTTCATGTAAATCCTATAATCCTCATGTTCGTTTACTCATGTTTTCATAAGTCACTCGTTCATATTGAAATCCAAATTACTCATTAGTTCACATAGCTTCTGTTGATACTTATAACACATGGGCTACTTCTTATGCTGAGATTACAAACGTAGACAAGGTTTCACAATTTCCATGTCCATGCCCAATTAAAACCATACTTGCTCAAACAATAATCATACTTACACATGTATTCTTATACACTTTATATTCCACAAGAAGTTTAGAAGCACACTTGTATTCATATCTTTCATGCTTATGCTCATATAAAGATCATGGGTTCACACCTTATCTCATACACTTGTAGTGCAAAATGCAAATGTTCCTAATTCTTTTCTAAACTCCTTATTTCTCAATTGAAATTGTGTGTGAGGTATTTACTCGTGCTCTGATACCATTCTGTCATGACCCGAACCCGTCCATAAAAGTTTGGGTCATAACTGGCCGGTAATTCGTGGATTACCGAAGGCCTCAAACAAACATACAAAATATTTATGTTAATGGGGCCATAACGGAAGCATATGATGAGAAGGAGTCCATTGAGCTGTGCCAATCATGAGTAAGATCGTAGCGATAACCATGTAACACATTAATACATTTAATAGCCCAACAAAATACAGGAGCCAAAGAAAAAATTGTACATAGTGTTTACAACCCAAGACCATGAAAGCAAAAGCAAAATAAGATCAAAGTGTGGTGTGAGTCAAGACAAAACTCCATCTTGGAGGCAAACTCGATTGGGTCTAAAAAAGAATAGCTCCTGAAGCTGACTCTAGGGGTGTGCTCTATGCTGTAGATTACCTACATGTGCATACATAATATTGAGTGAGCGAAGCTCAATGAGTAATAATACAGTAAACAATGTAATAATCATAGGATTCTCACAATATCCATAATCGTGTAATCAAAACAGCCTCAGGCCCAACATTTATCAAAACGGTCTCTGGCCCAATTTGCTCATATCAAAACGGCCTTAGGCCCAACATTTATCAAAACAGTCTCAGGCCCAATTTACACATATCAAAACGGCCCTGGGCCCAACATTTATGAAAACGGTCTCGGGCCCAATTTGCACATATCAAAATAGCCTTGGGCCTAATCATATATCAAATGGCCCCAGGCCCAACATTTATGTATGTATGGACCTAAGAGGTGACTCGTACGGACTCTAGAGGTGACTCACACTGTAGCACTTAGTTCTGTATAACATTTTGTTCCATACCATAAATCAATAGGTTTTAAAGACTGAACAAGTCATATCATGTCATAGCATAAACAAAACGGATCAACGGAACGGCTTTGGGCCCACCATATCATATTAAAAACAATTCGCATTTCTTGTTCATAACTCATTTCACACTTCTTGGAAACTTGTGCGTTTTGACAAAATACAATATTAGAAGATCATATCGTACATAAATCAAAATCTATAATGAAAAACATATCTTTACTATACTATTACTCATGGTGATTTCCAGAAATGGTTGACCGGTCCTCGAATCATGACCTGCAAACACAATGTGCATGGCACAACATATCGGAACATAGAATTACTCTCTTGATCAAATCTAGTTCTCTTAATCTTTTTTTAACCAAATAAGTCAATCCCTTACTTTGCTCCTTAACCAATTATTTTTGTTGGTTCTAAACTCATTAGTTTTCAATGGGTCATAATCCGTGTCTAGGAAAATAGGAAGAAACGAAAGGAAACTGGATTAGGAGAGGAAATAGTATGAAACGGTTAGAAATAAAGTGAATAGCGTTCATTAATTTGAACAAATCTATTTTTGTATTTAGACTTTGGATGTGAGACTACTAACATTGGAAACTAGACTTGCGGGGCTTGAATTTAGGCTCAAGAATCGCTTAAAATAGAGTCTGGATGAGGGAGATATACCTTTTTCAAGTTGGGCCGAAACAGGGTTCCTCATGTGCGAAAGTCTTCACCGTTCGTGCAGCCCAAATCCGCTTGAGCAGAAACACCTGTCGCTCGAGTGCCCAAGGAATAAAATCAAAACCTTTTTTTTTTTTTCATGTTTCACTCGTGCGGGGCCCGTGGCCGCTCGTGCGGTCTGGGCAAACTCAGACAGCCCGAAAATTCATCAAAGATTGAGTTCAACCGAACTTCAAGCCAAGATTTCAAGTAATCTTCCTTTAAAAGTTGAAATACTAACCTTACACAAGTGTAATCACAACTCAAACACATCAATCTTGCTTAGAGTTTAAAAATCAAAAGCTCATCTTTCATAATCTTAAGAGCGTCCTATTGGATCCAAAGAGTATTTCCAAACCACTCTCCCACATATGGCATTCCCCAATTGTGAGAGCCAAAATTAGCATATTATGTGAGTCTTAACACGGACATGTGGCGTAATTTTCTACTTGGATGCTCAGCTCGGATTATTTGTTCGGGAGCTAGGCACTTTGCTCGAGAGGTAGGTACTCAGCTCAGATAGCTCGGGTGCACTCTTGCTCGGATTTATTTTGTTAGGGTGCACAACTAGACACTCTACTTAATTAGATGCTTTGCTAGGCTAATCAACTAAACTACTTTGCTTGGTTATTCTGGTATAGATAATGAAAGGGTATCCCAACAACATATCTGGATAATGCTTGCCACCCCCAAGCATGGGTGTACTATCCCACAAATAGTGAAGCATCTCAAAACAGTTTTGATGCGGCTCCTTGCCTCCACACTTTTTTTTTCTCTCCTTGTATCACTTTCCTTTCAATCGCCAGTAATATCTTCTTCTCTTTGCTGATAATAATAATAATAATAATAATAATATTAATAATAAACAACCTCAAAACAGTTATTCATACTTTATATAAAGAAGACACCCACAATGGGTCAAACATGCAATCTAGCACGCAATGCATAGGCTCGTGAATATAGGTAATTGATTACTTTCATTCTGAAAAGTGGAGAAAATATCAGTTTGCCCCAAAAATATCACTTAAATATGTAAGAAAATTTTAGAAGTGGATGAAATGGACTCCATTCAAATGGAAGGGCCTTTTACAATGGTTTCAATCACTTCTATAAATACTATTCTCATGGCATTCATTATGTCATAATCAAGTATAAAAAAGAGAGTGCATAGTATAAATTGATTCATTGTACACACATAAAATTGTGTAATTTCTGTGTGGGGGTACCTCGCTCCGGAATGATAAGAATTGGAGCAGCAGTCAATCTAAGCTTTAGTTCCGAAAGGAATTCTCACATGCTTTGCTCCAAACGAACCTTACTCCCTTACGGGGTCAATCTAGTTAATGGTGATGCTAAGGAAAAGAAATTCTTTACAAATCGGTGGTAGTAACTGGCTAAGCCCAAAAGCTATGAATTTCTGAGGTGTTCTTAGGTTGCTCCCAACCCAGCACAGTTTCTATTTTTGAAGAATCCACCATAATTCCATTTCCTAAAACTACGTGATCCAAAAACTTCACTTTAGAAAGCCAAAATTCACATTTCTCATATTTCGCATACAAACGGTGCTCTCTAAGAAGTTGCAGGATAGTACGAAGATGCTCTTCATGCTCCTCTTCACAAGGTGAATAAATAATATTTTAGTCGCCAAAAATCTTATTTTCTGCTATTAAAACTTTGGTTGCCAAAACTTGAAGTATCTACGACAACCGAAGTTTTAGTCCCCAAAGGGTTTTTTTTTCATCTTATTTTATTATTATTTTTTTTTAGTTACTAAATTCTTAGTCGCTTAAAGTCTATTTTTATTTTAGCTACCAAATATTTAGTAGCCAAAAGTTTTTCTCCATTTTATTTTTATTTTTAGCCACTAAATATTTAGAAGCCAAAAGTTTTTTTTTTTCATTTTTTTTAATTTTTAGCTGCTAACTATTTAGTCGCTAAAAATATTTACTTCATTTTTGGCTACTCATTGTTTAGTCGCCAAAAACATGATTTTATTTTATTTTTTAATTAATTTGTCCACAATATGTATGTATTACATGCAACCTATATCATATATATAAATAAAACAATACATCTATTATCAATCATTCCACAATTTGCATCCATTTCACTTACAACCATCCAAAAAGAAATAAACTTTTAATGTCAAATTTCATACAAATTAAGTATACTCCAACCTAAAATAATAATATTATTCCATACAAAACAGAGAATCATACCAAAACATGTCTTCCATACAAAAATATATTCACTACGATGCCAAATATATTTCCTAAAGAAGATATCTTTATTGTTGTAAAGTGAGTTGATAATGATGTCTATAAGTCGAGACACCTTAGCCTGAAATTCAAACTTCTCTGCATTACTGTGGAGTGATCTCTTCGATAAGTTTCCCTAAACCACATAATTACAAAAAAAAAAAAAAAAAAAAGAAAAATGAAGAGATAGAGACAAAGAGAGGGGAAGATGAAGAATTAGAAAACTCCAATTCTCAAAGGACATGATAATTCCATAGCTTGGGTGGGATTTATTCCAAACAATATCTAAATAAATATAATTTGTATACATAAAACTCATTTAGAATGACATGACAGTTGTATTTTTATAATTACAAGCTACAATGATCAATCTTGGATGGCTTTGGAAAGTAGGAACTAGAAAAGTTCATCATTAGGATGGTTCCTACTGAGTTACACTTAACACATAAAAGTAAAAGAAAAAAAAAATAAAAGAAAAGAAAAATAAAAAAATAGAAAGATTAAAAGTTGATATTTGGTATATGAGATTCTTACTCTCCTAAAATACATGAAAATTGGCCCCCATAAGCAGCAGCTACAAGCCTCGAATCCCTAATACCAGCAAGAAAAACAACAATGAAACTAGCAATAGATTATGGATAATCTAAGCCATACTCTGATGTTGAACTACAATGAACAGCTTCAATACGAAGACATACATACAGCCCACGTCCAAGTTCACAAACAAAAAATATGCAGAAATGACATCAGGTAGTTGACAATTACTCACCGTATCCTGAGAGACCAGCCCAACATGGCTCCTTAAACTTTCCAACCAAATATTTTGGATTTTATGATTATGTATTAGTATACAACCTGTTAACATGGGACAAGCAAAAGGTCACAAAAAAATAATGAAAATAATCATAAATGAATTGTCAAATGTCAAAACAAATATGTCAGAACAAGGTTTATAATCATAGTTTATAATCATAGATGACTCATCACACAGAGGATCATAAATGCGAAGAAGCAGTTTCATAAGCATTGTCTTTCCTCCTCCTGAGGGCCCAACAAAAGCAACTGTTTCTCCAGCTTTTATATGAAGGTCCAACCCATTTAATACAAGAGGCATATCCTCACCATGATTGAATGAGATGTCACGAAATATCACCTTACCGGTAACACAGTCTAAATTAACAGCATCCAGTTTTTCAATCACCTAAATAAAATAACACAATAAGTGGTTAATTTTCGAAATCAAATCTTAAAAGCCCCAAACAACAAAATTGACTACACTGTCAAGTCAAAATAAACAAGACCGCAAGAAAGTGAGACAAAAATCTATCGAGTTTGTTTAAGTTGAATACCATTAATCAACATAATTGATGGATAAGGACTACTATAGAGGAGATACTGATCCAAAACCAAATAGCCATGTGTATTGCCAGCTGTGAAACTCTAGCCCTGAGATTTACATAGAATTCAAGGATGCCATGAATTCTATGTAAATAGAGAGGTTGTTTTAGAACCAAGGCCTGAGAACTATGTGGAGAAGCCCAAGCATTTAGAAAAATAAAAAATAAAAAATAAAAAACCTGAAAAAACACATAGCAACAAATTTTTGAAGGTGAAAGACCATGTAAGATCAAAACCTCTCCATTGCTTCCAAGTCAGACATGTAAGATCAACATCCTGGTTTTTTTTTTTTATTTATTATTATTATTTAAAATTTCCATACCCATTTTCTCAAATTCATTTCTTGTGTTTCTAAATTATTTTAACAACTAATCAATCCTGCAAATCGCTCTTCTTCCCTAATTCATTCCCATTCCCTCTCCTCCAACAACCTCCCCGACTTGTCGTCCACCTACTGAGCCTTCTTCTGCGCCTCTTTGGCCTTCAAAGCCTGCAACTTTGAATGATTGTGTAGTCCCATGATTTCAGAGGCCTCTAGCTTCAAAGGTCATTTTAAAATAAGTGTAGAAGTAATCAGTTATCTTACTTTGGATTCTAAAGCATTATATGCAATGTAATACCAAATGAGATTGAACTGAATTTACTGAGTCTGCAACTGAGGAAGGCTGAAGAAAGCAACTGGAATTTGACCTTGAAGTTTGCTGTTTTCCATCACTCTGCAAGTACAAAGTTAAAGTAATATGTTTACCATAGTTGGGAGTACATTGATGAAATAACAAAGGATGGAAATACAATATCAAAAGATGCGAGTTGGGAAATTAAGAAGATGTTATGCAACTTGGAGTAAGAAGTGGAAAGGCTCCTCATGTTCTATAATATTGATCAGCCAGTTTCATGACATCTACGAGCACACTGTAAAGTTAGAATGCTCATCATATGCAAATATGACAGTTAGAAATAGTGATGATCATCTATTGCCTCTTAAGTATTGTCTATTATGTCGTATAGTCCTGATATTTTTAATCATTTCAGACTTTTAAGTCCTTCATTAGCTTTATATTTCCAGAATCTTGGTAACATGTACTTTGATGATTTTATTCTTAGATTATGGGTGAATGACCAAGCTTGTAAAATAAAGTCCATGACACAATCAATATTTGTTTAAAGGTTGCCAACTCATAAAGCAATTTCATCAAAAACAGTGATTATTGATACATATTCTGGGCCTTGTTGATCTCATGGATTATGACATTTGATGTGGCTTAGAAATGAGAACTGTTGCAAACAAGAATGCAAACTTTTTATTATGGCACTTTACAACTATAAACAACCTTGACTTCTTTTAAAAGGGGAAAATCACAAAGCACGTCAAATATTAAGGAAAATGACATATGTGAGAAGCATTGAATATGTTGAGACTTACATGTTAAAATCTGGAACAGCAACAATATTGAAGAGATCTAGATCATAAATTGATTGATTGAATAGCAAAGCAGAGCAACGAAGCGAGAGTAACATTTGGTATCACTACGATGCAGCAAACCTCAAATAATTCAGACATTCCAAGCTATGCTAGCAAAAAATATTTGGTATCACTACGATGCAGCAATTGAGTTGTAATACAGGAACAAAATAAAAAAATAAAAACTAATGCAACATAGGCCCAGTTCTGGGGTTTGTTGCTGCATCTCCTGCAATCTCCTTTCCATTGACATAATGCAACATAGGCCTAGTTCTCTACAAACACAGTAAAAAAAAAAAAATTAAAAAGGAAAAAGAAAAAAAAAATAACCCCATAAATACTTTGTAGCTAGAGAAACTCCAAGATATTTCAAAAGAATTCTTTTTCTTTTTTTTTTTTTAAAAAAAAAAAGAAGGAAAAACAATGTTCACAGCAATATCTATTGTCACAAAGGAAATGTAGAGACAAGGGCATCCAGTAATGGAAACTCACATCAGTAAGCCCAGAGCACTGGCAAAAGGCACAAATACTTCTATTTGCATCGCATAAATCTGAAATTGTAGGTGCCTTCGCACCAGAGAGATTTTCAAATTTTGATTTCAATTTTGAAACTGCTACATATGGTTGAGTGCAACCATTAATTTTCACAGCCATATGAAACAACCTATCCTTCAGTTTCTTTTGTCTTTTGACATCCCTGGTATGATCTTCTCCAGCACCAGGTGAAGTTCTGTCACCTCCAGCCTTATCATCAGAGTTGTTTTCAACTGATCTCTTGGCTGGATGTTTTTCTGTACTCTGCAAAAATAATCAACCAACACTTTAATTCACAAATAGATTAAATAGCTTTGCAAGAAAGCTTAGACCCATAGCACAGTAATCCAAAAACATGCAAAACACAAAAATAACCCAGTTTAGAACAAATTACAAATTTTGTTCAAACACTAAGCAACTGAATGAATAGAAATCCTCAACCCCTTCATGTGTTCCCTTCTCTACCCCATGCATTTTATCGAGCCACATTATCGTTGTTGATGAGATGGATAATAACATTAGTTCTATGTTTAGTTATTTATTATAATTACAAAATATAAGAATAAAATGTTTATTACATAACAAAATCAACAAAGAAAACTGAAAATTGGAATCTTTCTTAAACCAAAACTATTATCCTTTATAAAACAATGGAAACCTTAATCTTCTACCTTCTATACATAACATATACATATGTATATATACAGATACAACTTTTTCATTTGATCTTGTGTACATAAGTTTCATAGGTTTCCCCTAATTGTATCTTCTACGCCTTGTAAAAAATTATGTTGTAAAACTGCCAAACCATTTCTGCTTCCTCACTCCCTCAACTAAGAAGTTTACGTAGCTATCTGAATCAATCATAAAAGGGAAGCAAATAAATTCTTTACTAATACAATCATAGCATCAAATTTCAATTCAAATAATCAGAATACATAAGAATACATACACAATCAATGAGAAACCATACATGCAAATACATACACAATTTGAAACTAACGAGCAACCATACATGGAAATACATACACAATGAGTCGGATTAGGGATTTGAGCCTAATGAGAGAGAAAGGAAGGGGAAAAGGTATCAAACCACTTAAATCAAACCTATTTACCACATCAAACCCATAAAACCCTAGAAATCAAACCACCTAAACCAAACCCATTTCAGAAATCAACACGAAATTAGACTTGGTAAATCATGCAAAACCCTAAAGCAAGAGCGAGAAATGGGAAAATAGAGGAAGGGAGAGAGAGACAGAGACAAAGACTCGCAAGCGAGCAAAAGAGAGATAAAGAGCGAGCGACTGAGAGTGAGAGCGAGAGAGACAGAGAGTGAGCGAGTGAGAGCGAGAGAGAGAGCAAAAGAGAGAGGGAAGAAATAGAAAGAACTTGATCGTATTGCGGCGGTGGCCATGGAGATTTGCGGCGGCGATGTGCGACGGACGTGAGCAACGGTGGTGACGGACTTTAGTGAAGTGAGGAGGTGAGGTTCTGTGTGTGTGAGAGAGAGACAGAGGAAAGGGACTCAAATCTGGGTGTCTAAAATATGTTCCCACTAAATATTATAAATCTTTTAGCGACTAAAACGTTTTTAGTCACCATCAGTTTACTATTTGGCGACTAATTGTTCTTTGTCGAAAAAAATTGAGTATACCGTAACTAAATATTTTTTTGTCGCCAAAACTACATATTTGCCAACCAAATTCTTAGTCGCCAAAGAGTAACAATGCAAATGTGGCTATTATTTGGCCACTAAATTTATTTTAGTCGGCAAAAATTAGTATATTACGACTAAAATAAAATTTAGTAGCTAAAAAACTAGAGTAACGACGACTAATATTTTTTTTAGTTGCCTATTGTGACAAATTTACCGACTAATGTTTCTTTTAGTCGCCAATAAATAATATACGTCAACTAAAATATTTTAGTAGCAAAAACTTGAACAAACGGCGACCAAAATAATTTTTAATAGCCAAAAATTGAACTTTTGGCGACTAAATCCCTTTAGTCGCCAAATTTGGTTGCCAAAAGTGTAGATTGTTGTAGTGTAATGGTTAGAGTTGATGGCCTTGGTTAATGGCATTTAATCCCTCATGGCGAGGGACTCCCTTACTTATATAAATAGAGGCATTTCCCCTCCAACTTGGCAGAATAATTTTGGAGAGATTTTTTTTTATAGAAAATGAGATGGTGTTTTGAGATAATAAAGTTGGAGATGATTTTCATACCAAAGAAATTTTTTATCTTCTTTTTCCTAGCTCCTTCTTTGGTACTTGCTTTGAAACTATTCATAAGGTACTTTTGTATAACCTGATTTCGACCGTCGTATCTTAGAAGACAGACGTCGACGTACCTCCAGCACCCATCAGGAGGCGATGAATTTGCTTTAAGGAAACGGTGGTATCACACAAGTTTCGGTATGCGTCTCTCATCTTTTATTCTTCAAACTTTTAGATTTAAACTATTTCTTGTATATTATTTTGTATATCTATGTGAATCCGTCTTATAATATGTTCCATCTTGGAATCTAGTTCATTCCTATATTTTTAATTTTGTAGTTTATTTTTTATTTCATTCTTTAATTTAAAAAAAATTGTTTTGTTATTTCCATTTAATTTATTTTTTATATTTTTCTAGTATTATTATGAAAAAATACCAACATTTACATCCATGTGCTCCGGCTTGCAACAGAGATTGTAGTGAACTCCACTCTTCATCTCTAAACACATCGTCTAGGACAAGCAAAAACTTTTTCCTGCCCGTGTGACCTCAAGTTTACCTTAAGGCCATGTTTGTTTGGGTGGACATGAGCTTGGGATTGGACTAATAGTCCAATAAAATTATTAATTCAATGTTTGGTTAAACAATTAAAGTACGGATAAATTATTTTAAATTTGACTATTAGTTAATATAGGATACATAATCCAACGGATTGGTAGTCCTAGGACTATTAGGCCTAGTTTGGGAAGGTTGAAAAAAGACAAAAAGTCAAAAAGTCACTATCTTATTTAAGTCACATCATCTTATTTAAGTCACATCACCTCTCTAACCCATCACTTCAAACCCAACTCAAATCCAACCCATATTTCATAAAAAGTCAAAAAGTGCACTTATTTAATCTTCCCAAACTAGGCCTTAGTCATGAGAATACTAATCCAGTCCGCCCAAACAAACATGACCTAAAGGTTAGTTAACTCTCTCAAATCGCATGACTGGAGAGTGAATGAATCCAGAATTGCTTTTGTTATTCTCTTAACATCAAACTCGTTAGATACATAAACCCACGCTTTTAGATCAAAATGGTTTTTGACACCATCATCATCGTAAATGAGATAAGCCAGAGTAGTCTTGAAATTCCACTCATGCCGGTAATGGGAATGGCATCGACTTTGTTTTGAGTTGTTGTATCTCTAAGAAGCAATTCAATAATCCATTTTTTTTCTTCATCTCTGCCAGAAACAAAAGGATCATCCAACAAATATGCAGTTTCTCGTCTTGGCCACACATTTGTATACTTAGTCCCCCCAATAGCCTTCTTCACCAAACCAAGTTCCCCCCAATAGCCCTTTTCACCAAACCTAGTTCCTTAGTTCTTGTAGTAACATCTTGTAACTGAACAGTGATCTTCTTTAACTTGGACCCAATTGCCAAATTGAAAGAGATTGCACTTGTAGTAAAACCAGTGCAACAAGTAGGAAAGAGGAATCGTCGTACCTTACTACGTGTGTTGGCCTTACCAACATCAACATCGGCATTGTCTTTGCCCTGATCAATATCTTGCGTAGAGCTGTTTCAGACAAGTTTGGTAGGTAGGTAATTGAATAGCAAGCAAAGTATAAAGCATGTAGGGCCCTCCCCTTCTCTTTAGCAAGCAGGGTATATGATTCTGGACAAACTTTTTGCATAATGTTTTTTTGATGTTGGTGAATCATTTTCCAATTAAAAAATGATGCCATGTTAAAACAAAGAAATAAATGCAAATAAAAGTTCAAAATTTTAAGATAGAAAAAAGCGGTAAATTAGAATGATCACCTCTGAGATTTAAAAATATAGATATAATTAGCTTTAGAAGTTTGATATAATTGTATCATCCTTCTTTTTGGTAGAGCTAAAGTGCCTAAAATTTATTCAAAAGTAAATAAGGTAAAATATACATTTTAAAGTAAAAGAAATTACAATATTATTTTGGGGGATGCACTAATAAATCCCAAATTTATATCTTGTAAACCATTTGGTCCTATGAATTTTCTTATGAACCATTAGGTCCTATCCCAATGTTAATGACCATTAAACATCATCGACATCAACAACAACTTCAACCTCATCAAACATCAGATCTCATACACTCCAATTCACAGATCTCATAGTTGATGTTGCTCCATTACCCACCATTGAACAACATCATCAACATCCAAATCAATCTCTCTCAATTTTGAAACCCTAGTTTTCTTTCTCTAGACTCTCTAATGGCACCCAAAGCAGCAGCAGAGAAGAAGCCCGCAGAGAAGAAGCTAGCGGAGGAGAAGAAGTCCACGGTGGCGGAAAGGGCTTCGGCGGAGAAGAAGCCGAAGGCCGGGAAGAAGCTGCCATGATCGACATCGGATTGTGGGTGTTTGTGGGTGTTCGAACATCAGATTCATGGTCGATGAAATCAGAAGAACATCAGATTCATGGTCGAACATCAGATTCATGGTCGAACATCAAACGGATTTTGAGTTTTTGATGATCTCTATCAGATTCATCAGATTCAAACATCAAACATCAAACATCAGATTCAAACATCAGATTCAAACATCAGATTCATTAATCTATATATACATATATATGTTGATTTCACATTGAGAACATCGGATCGGAGAGAAAAATGGTGAAGAACAATTATTTGGCAATGAGGACGACGGGTTCAACAACTTCAACGGAGTTGATAAGTTCTGATCTGCAAGATCTGGGGAACGAAGCAAAGAAGTTCGCAAGTCATGCCATCATGCTCACTTCTGGCCTCGGTTTGGGCTCTGTTCTTCTTCAATGGATAGCTTCAATCGCTGCTATGTAAACATCTTCTCTCTGTCTCTCTCAGGAAAGTTACAAAATGATACAAGTTAGATATTTACACTGATGTTGGTAATGTTGGGGCCTAATCGTACAACACATTTTATGGGTAAAAAGAGAGAAGGTCATCGCCATGTAGAGGGTGGATTCAGTGCTGGTGGAAAGGATTCATCGCAGTTGGGGATGGTGGAATGATGTTGTTTTGATGATGATGTTGTGATGTAAAAAAAGGACTAAATGGTGCATAAGAAAACTTTTAGGACTAAATGGTTCAACTTTTCCGAAAATAGGATTTGTGGGTAAATTTTCCTATTATTTTTTCATTCGTGCGACTAACAAATTATTGATGAAAATGACACTAAAATATTATGTAAACTTTAAAAGTATCAAACAAAATTATGTTAAGCTTGTGAAACTATATGTATATTTTCTAAACTATATGGCACGCTAGTGTTATTTACTTAATATCTACAGAGTTTCTTACCGAACTCCATTTTTTTATTTAAAAATTCAAGTTTTAAACTTATATCCCAAGTTGTTTCATAATGTCCTTTTTTTCTAAACTAATTAATTATAAAAAAAATTGATTTTTTAAAATATTACTATAATTTTGAAGTCGTCTTTTGAAAATGCCTCATAAAATATTTTAAATTAAAAAAAAAATTAATTATTTGGATATGAGAATTTTATTTCAAAGTACTGCTGTTTGGTAAATAATTTTTTTTTAAAAAAAAGTCTCCGTATAGGTAGGTCAAAATAAAATTAAATATAAGGAGAAGAAAATAGATGAATTATTTATTAATCTAGTTGCAAACTTTAATACTTATGTTTAATTCACTTGAATAAAAACAAAATGAAATGGAATGCGACCATCTGAATGACAATTCAACTTTAAAACTCCCTAAGATTATTTTAGGGAGTGGATTCTCATTGCTTAAATAATAAAGTGTAAAATGTTAAAAAAAAATAATAAATTCAAAAGAGAAAAGGAAAAGAGCATATAATATTATTAATAATGGTAGAGCATCTTGTCCTCTTTCTCTTTTATTGCTTATGTTTAATAATATTCTTTGTTGCTTTTCAGAAAAAAAAAAAAAAAAGGTAAAGCATCACTTATAGCACTATATTTCTCACTACCTCTCTCACAAGTTATAAAATTCACAAATATATGAGACTCATCGCTTGTAAGACACGGTAAGAAATTCATAAACATCATTGATGGATGTAGAAGCGATCGCCTCCTACGAATTCACTCACTCATATATTAGTATTAGTTATTAATTATTTTTAAATTATACGGATTCGCCATTCTACATCTATGAAACATAATGTTCAAAGTATAAAAATTAATAATTTGGGCAAAAGATAGCATCTTAAAAAAAAATAGTTACGACTAGTATTGAAAAAATGTCTTAAAATTGCTATCTTTTGTAATTCAAGATATAAAAAATAATTATCATTTATGTTTTTTCATGGTTTTTTTTTTTTTTTTTTTTTTTTTGAAATT